CTGTTTCGCTTCATTGGGCTACTTGAAGGAGTAGCCCAATGAAGCGAAACAGTTTGGTGTATGTAAATGTGACCTCATTGATGAAAATTAAATCAAATCTAATAAAAAGCTCACAAGAGATAATTATGTAAGCCATCTCTTATAGTATTGCCAAGCATGAAGTCATAATCTGTCATTTGGTGATAGCGCTGTAAATCTCAATTGTCGAATCTCTTGCGACATCTGTCATTGGTTTTAAAATTGATTGTTAAAGCATTTGAAATGTTTCTATTGACATAAATTTTCTGCGTTTAAATTTGTAATAACTGACAATTTAAAGTGTATTTTTGAAAGAAAATTTCGCTCATTTTCGTTTAAAATTTTATCTTTTAATTAGTGTAATGTAAGCATTATTCACTGAGTTATTTGTGAATTAATCTAAAAGTTATGAAATCTTACAGGTTTCTCTTCTATTTGAAGTTGTAAGCATTTGCTTTATCGTCTTTATATTATTATTATTATTGTTATTACTTATTGTTCATTATTATTATTATTGTTATTATTATTATTACTTTTATTGGATTTTTTTACTATTATTATTGTTGTCGTTATTATTACTATTATTAATGTTTTTTATCATTATTATCATTATCATAACTTCCTAAAATTATTATTAACTCATAGAATAGAATAGTTTCCATATTGTCCTTTCATTCCTTTGCTTTACCTTTTTTCCTTTGTTGCTACTTTTCACTTTTAGAAATTTCTCATCATTTGTAATTTCATTTATTTGTTCATAATTTCACGATGACTTTCATTTCATTTGTTTACATGCAATGATTGCATTTTGTTTAGACATCATTGATCGATGAGATTAATTTATCGATATGATAAATCCTTTCTTTCATTCATAATAACCTTCTCTGAGAAACGTTGATTGGTTAGGATTAACTCAATAATGCCAAGCCATTTCATCCAAATTCCATATGTAGGCATGGATAGAATCATTAAGCTAAATATTTCCAGGAATCAATCAGTTGACCAGCATATTCTGATTACTGTCCCTATTCGTCTTTTATTTCTAATGACAAGCCGCTTCTATCCCTTTTCTCCTCATCATCCATTTATGCAAACAAATAATTAACTTTTAATTTATGGAGTTTGAGGTTAAAAGTCACGGTGATTGGAGAAGTGGTCGAAAGGTGATCTTATCATTTTGATTGATCCCTCATAGTAGTACTGCTGGGCCATTCTTGCTCCAACAATCAATAACAATTTCGATAATTTTAGACATCTACCAGTTAAAACGAACCACACCCATTGATCCCTTTTTCTGCCTTCGTAAACTTTTGTCCAAATATTACGACTCCACCCTTTACTTGGACATAGTAGTTGTGGTGACCACAACTACCGGTAATATTTCTACCTCGCTTGATTATTCCTCCTTAACCAAACCTATACCAAGCTCATTAACACCAAAAGAAGGGTTATTGTTCATCCTAACAATAAACAATGGCGCATCTGATATCGGCTTTATTTGTTTTCATCTCAGTTATTGTGGTTTCATTACGCGGCAATCCAAAGTATCAAAGGTTTTTCGTCAATACCAAGTTAGTGCTAATTATTCGCCCTGAAATTTTAAAATTAAAATTTTATCAAAATAAAAATTTTACACTTATGAAAAAACTACATTCTATGAAAAAAAACTTCATGAATTATTTCAAAATAACACATTTAAAAGGGTTACATTTTCACATAAAAACATATAACAAACAAATTTTTTTAAATGTATTTTAAGTTCTTTAAATTTTGAAAAGAAATATTTGAGTACCTATATTAAATAAAAATAATCCAAATTCTTCTTCCTACAGATTGTTTTTTTTTTAAATTATCTAATTTTTGTTAAATACAAAAAATCTACAGAGCAATAAATTTTGTGGATGCAACAAAGCGCGGCTTCCGAATTGTATTACTGGATTCATTTTTGGATTCCTATCTTGCACCAATTCAAATTCCAACAATTTTTATAACTGCAATACCACTAAAAGCTGATGAATCTGCTGCTATTAAAATATTCTATCCGGACAATATTCGGAGTGATAAACAGGTAAATTTATCAAACTGACTATTCATTTGATAAAGTTTAAAACTTTCTTAAAATTTGTTACTTACCATTTTTTTCTGTGTGCGTAAATCGAAATATTAGGAAGGGAAAAGAAGGGTTCTTTTATCATATAGCGGTATGATCCTTTCAACTATTTCATTATACAGTTCCGGAAATTAAAGTCCATTTTGCCGCGCCTATAATTATCATAATGGGTACAAGCAAGTTACGGATCTCTTCTGATAATTATATGGTAAGATAGAATGGCGTTAATATAATATCTATCACCTGATCGTTGTCATAAAGGTTATGTGAGCAATAAATAGTTGTTGATTTTATGGATGGTGCGAAAAACAAAAATTTTGTCAATTTCATAAATTTCAATAATGGCAGTTGAATTTTTAGTAACTAAACATCAACAATATAATATTCGTCACCTGTATTATCACTTATATCATTTCTATTTATTAGATGATAACCTTGAACTTATTAGCTATTAAGTGTCGACAAATAGCTTACTGTGATAAATTTAAGATTTATTTTAGTTAAAGAAAGATAGAAAAAGTTAATTTTTCCGGATACTGAGTAGTTGTCTGTTCAGAGAACCTCTGGATGTTTTTACATAATTTTAATTTTGAAACTTTTGGAAAATTTATTGTCTTCCAAAAAAAAAAAAACACATTTCAGGTAAGTATATCGGATTTAAGAGAACGACAATGGTACTATATTTGTGTTGAGTGGGAAAATTTCAACAGACACAACGAATCTACAGGTACTGATTGTCGCATATTGCGTACGTTAGATCGATTTGGGAAAAGTGCTGAAACGAGTGTCACTGATGTAGATATCATTGATATTTCGTCAACAACAATGCAATTTCGAATACGATCAATCGTTGAATTTCCAATTAGGTATGCAATTGTTAATTTTCATTCTCTAATTTGTACAATTTTTCGATCGATTTTTTAAAGAAATTTATTATCGCCAAAAAAGAAAAAAACTTCAGATGAGTATATTTAAGACTTCAGGTAAATATATTTGAGAGAAACTTTTCAATCGATTAATTCTATAAAGTAAGAAATCTCAACTAAATTATTTTGGAAATATTTCAAAAATTTATGAAAAAGTACTTTAAAAAAGAATTAATTCCTCAATGATATTTATAAAAGTAATATTTACTTTTTCAGGATTATTGCATTTAAATAATAAATATTGAATATTTTAATGAGTATATCGTAATCTTTGTGAAATTTCTCTTTTCATTCTCCATTTCATCATCTTAGGCAGAAGCAATTGTATTTATAAATGTCACAAATTACTTGTCACATTCAACTTCATGACATTCACTAACAATTACGCCTATTATTTGTTTTAAAAAAAAAAAGTAGTAATGCTTCTCAAGGAAGAGAAGGAATAACGAAAAAAAATTCTTGAATCATAAATAAAACACATAACTCAAATAAATAATAACATGAATAAAACAAAATATTTAAAAAAAAAAGAAAAAAATCGACTGAATTTTTAAAAATTTAAGAAAAAACAAAAATCGATTCCAACTTTCATTTACTTTTCAATAATTATTTATTCATTTTATAATTGAAAAGAATGAATGGCTTTTGTTGATAATTTCTTATCGTAAATTCATTACTGTATATTGAAAATTCCTACTTAAAAATAATACAATTATTTTATTTTAAGAAAACTTTATTACAAATGACTTCATTTCTTATTTAAAAGTATTCCCAATATTTTACCAGTCCTTTTTTTCTCTCTCAAGATATCTTGTTAAGTGTCAATTGTAATGTCATCGATAACCTATAATTTATAATTTTTATAATTACTATCATTTAATGGTCGTTAACAATTATTGTAAGGATGTAAAAATTTGATTAGAACCGAACTAAAATTGTTGGATGTTACTTGTGTCAATGAAATTAAATTTCATATATTTGTCCTGTTCTGTCCGGTCCTGTCCTGTTTGGCTAATGCGATTACACTTCAGTAAATTTCATTTGTTGTATCTGTTAAAACGACTTGTCATTTTAACGTACAAACTATAATTACCAATTATACAAATCTGTTTCATTAATTCTTTTTTTTCTACTATACTATAAGAGAAATTAACAACATTTTACAGTAATTTTTTTATTCGATTTATCTATTAAAAGTTTAATAAATCGAATGAAAATTATTATTAAAAATTTTAACTTAGCCAATTAAAAGAATTCAAATTACCGGCATTTCATCTTTTTGTTTTCTGTTTATTCAAATTTTTGATTTAACAATATCTAATTTATAAAATAATGTATTAAGGTTAACTGCAACGTTGCAAAGTGCTGCAATGGCACATCCAGCATCACAAACATTCATTTTTCGTGAATCCACCGATTTGGACGTATTTTTTCCATTTCTGAAACAGGATACGGATTACGGAAAATTATGCATAGTTGAGGAACCATTAGTGACCGGATATACAACAATGGGACGATTAATTGGTGATATGTCAATTGAAAAATGCTATTTCGGTAAGCAAACTCATTTCGTTTTTTTTTTTTGATTATTTCACAGTTTAACTTTCAGATTTCTAAATAATTCAAAAACAAAAATTATGACAGTTTTTTTATCGAAATTTGCATAAAAAGTTCAAAAACTACTCTTGCTTATTCTTTTTTGTAATTTTTTTTCTTAAGAGTTATATAAAAAGAAATGGATGTTCGCAAAGTTTAAAAATGTGTGCAATGAAAAGATTTAGTAATACCATAAAATAACATATTTATTTCATTGGTTCTTTGTTGAAACAAACAGTTTGTTGAAAATTTATTACCATAAAACAAAGGAATGGCATTGAACCTTATCAAGGATAGCTTTTTAATCCTTTTTTTTGAATTTTTTAATTTTTGGTTTTTTGATTGTCCTCTTATTTAATTGTGAACGGTTAAAATTCAAATTCAATAAGTTATTGGAAATCGATAAATACAAAAACTAGGCATAAATAAACAATTTCTGAGTTAAAATGCAAGCAAAAGACGTGCAAAGAAAAAGATGAACAAAGTTTTCAATCATTTTGATGAGAATTCAACTTCTCCATGCCATCAAAGTATGCGACGGATAAAATAATTTAACTAAAGCTCTAAAGATATCCATTTGGGGGAAATGTTATTATCTCAATTTTATTCGTTTCTTTTTTTTTTGCTTTTTTCCTACTACTTAATCCTAAATTATTGTTTTACAGGTAAGCTAAGGACAAAGGATTACGAGTTGTCAACTTTTGATGTAGAAGCTAGCGCTTATAGACGAGCTGCTTCTTCCAAAATGTTCAATTACTCAATTTTTGCACTTTTAGTTTGTCTCCTGGTCTCTTGGGCTAATTTTAGATGACCCCGTTACCACCTGAATTTGTCACCAGTCTTTGTACATTTTCTTCCTTAAATTTGGCCCATTAAATTATATGGTTCAAATGGATTGACAAATTTCATATTAAAATCTGATCATAAACCTGCTTGAATTCCTCTCATTTCTTTTGAAATTCTAAAAGCAATATCCTAATTAGTTAGTTAATTTGGCATAATTGCTAAAAGTCTTGCAAATCTCTGTGAAGTCTGAAGTATCGACATTTCATATTAAAGCTGATGACAAGATTCTGTAAACTTTTACCGGAAATCATAGAGATCAAAATTTTTATTGTATGGGTTGATAATGACATTAGCACTAATTTCGATCCTAGCCAATAAAAGCAATATGTTAGAGAAAAAATTTGTTGGTAACCGAAATTCAATGCTTTCTGAAAATTACAAATTTACGAGGGATGAATTTTGTCTGCAAATATCTGATTGGCTGATTAATATCTGATTATCACTTCCATTTCTCAACTTCATTTTCAAATTTGATAATAATTTCTGATATCCATGTTAATTCAATTCTGCACTGCTTACCTTCTAGTTATTCTTTCACTTTTTTTTTTAAATACGTTCTTCTATACTGATATTTATTTATAGCTTATGCATGAAATGCAATCTTTTGTATATTTCAAACTTTAGGAAATTATAGGGGAATAAATGTTTCTTCTAAGCCAAATGACTTATTAAGTAGGACTTAGCAGCCCAAACAAAAAGTTTTTTTATTTTTATTTTTTTGAAAGTTTGTTGAAATAAGAGTTTTCTTTAAATATCAACAACTAGTCGTCGTAATTTATATTTTAAAGTTTTCTTTTTTTTACTAACAATGTATATTATATTTTTCATACCTTACAAAGAAATATATTTCAATTTGTTAAAAATTAAAAAATTTTTAATCTAAAACTCTATCAATTATTAACAGTGACAAATTACATTGTCATAAAATTGAAAGTCTTCTCCATAATATTTGGCAAATAGGATGTTGTTCTCATCATTCACTTGCATCGGATGATCTCGAATTACTTCTTCAATGTCAAATAATCGATAGTTAATAAGTTATCATTCTCTAAATGGTAATGAAGAGGTTATACTAAATTATTCAAGTATACATGTATATAAAGCTCTGTACTAATTGTTTAGCTTTTATAATTTTATAAATTTTGTAAAGGTCATGACCTTAAAGGAAAACAATGATTGTCCACTGTCTGTCATAATTCTACTCTTTATTTTGTCTACTATTTGTCTCAAAAAAATTTCTGGTAATTTAATTTCAACAAATTTGAGAAGTATAATTAATTCTTGTAGAAATAATAATTTCTTACAGAAATGACAACCATTGTGATCGTCAGAAGTATATCTTCAGTTTATTCCTCTTCCGTATATAAAATATCTTCATACCATTATCAAATTTTATTGCTAATTTCATTTTGCTATTGTATCCAAAAATCAAATGTTGAATTACTCGAAAAAATTAGCAATTTGTCGAGAAAGCAATCGGTTCTGGATAGTATTAAGGGATGTTTTAAGTATCTGTTACTATAGTACGGGAAAAGTTTGACTCTTTTAAGATGACCAATTTATTCCAAGAATTATTTAAACAACGATTTCATTGAGCTTAAAAGGTGTGTGAGCTTGTTTGAATATATTGTAGGGAGTGAATCGAAATCCATTCCGGAATGAAATTTTATCAACAATCTTTTGCACTTTCCGGTTGATAATAATACCAAATTGCTAGTAACTGTATCTCAAGTCTGTATTTTGATGAATTTGAAATGTGTAAATTTTTCTAACCAATAGGTATGAGCAATCGTCGGCAGTCGTTTATCATACTGTAACGGAAAGGAATAATAAAACTTTTGTAGTGTCTTGTTTATTAAACGTTATCTTGCTAATTATTAGGAGAATGATCCTGATAAATGTTTCTCTAATTTGCATAAGTGCAAGTAATGCTAAGTTGAAATTATTGATTGATATGATAGTGTTAATTGTCTTGATTCTGGAAAATCAATTAATGATATGATAAAAATTATGTGACAGATAATTTCTTTTTGTGATTGATTGTTTTCGGAGATCTTCAATTAATTATTTGTGAATTAAGTTTATTGGTAATTTCTAATGAAGGTAGTGAAATAAAAAGAGAAAATATCGCATCTGGTAAAATATCCAAAACAAAACTTTATTTGATATTTAAAATTATGGAAATTTTATGCCTGTTTTGGATCTCGGATAAATTGCCCATATTTTATTGTAAAAAAGGTTTTAAATAATGGGCCAGATTTATTGGAAATAAAGGCTATTTTAATGCTTTTTAAATCTAATTCCTTCCCAAATAACTTCTGAATTTGCATTTTCCAAATTTCTTTTAAAACATTTCTTATAGAAAATCAAGAAATGACAACGATATTTTGCAAGAATAAAAGTGGTTGTTGTGGAAAAATGATTTGCCCGCGGGAATGAGAATTTGACAGACAGCAACTGCTGATGATAACAGAACTTCCATTTTCCCTTTTAGCTTCACAAGGCAGAAAAACTAATTAAAAAAAAGAAAAAAAGTGGAAAGGGAAGTTAAAAATGAGGAAACGAAAAAAAGTAAAGAAAAGCTTCTTTTTTTTTTCATGAAAACAAAATGAATTTCTTTCTTGCATCAATAAAAGTATTTGTATAAATTAAGCCTTAAAAATAAAAATTAATTTTACAATTTAACATTCACTAATTGAAAAACATAATGGTTAAAAAATTAATTTTTCAGTGATTAACGATTGTTTAATTTCTATGATCGATACATATCTATTTGTACTTTATGATAGATTGGTGTGAAATGCAAGTTTTTTTTCTCCTTCCAACAATTGTACTAATTTGATATTTACATAATTTACATGGAGCTAAAAAGTTACAAATATAATTTTTTTTTGAAATATGATTTTCAAAACTGCTATTGTAACTATTAAATAACGGATAAAGATGATAAGATAATGGTTTCCTTATTTTCATCAATAAATATTTGCATAAATTCAGCTTCAGAAATAAGACGTGGAATTTTATTTAGTACAAACTTTGCGCTTAAAAGTTAATTTTTGAAACCTGATTTTATTATGAAAATTTAATGCCTAAGAGGCAAATCTTGGAACTTGGCGTTTATTTAAATTGAGAAATTTTTATTTGAGCGAATTTCATAAATGTAAAAAAAAGTAAGTAAAATAAAGGAAAAAAACAATATAAATATGTCCTTGTTATAATTAAAAATTGCAACAAAATTTCAATCGGATTATTCGTTGGATCACTTTTTCATGCTATCTAAAATTTTGAATTTATTACTATCATTTTAATTCTTCTTATATTTATTACTTCATGCTCAGTATGGGTAAACGAAATAAGTGAGCAGTTTCGAAGAAAATATGAGGCTAATTAATTTAATTCCTTGCACTCAATTTTACTATATTTTAAAAATTTAATAATATTTTTGCAATTTTCATTTAACATTCACTTCATAATTTTGAGCTAAATTCAAGAAAGCATTCATTTATTTAATGAAAATTCATTTATTTAATGTAAAAGATTTAAATTCATAACATTTCTTTGTCAAATTTTTACATGAAAAAAAATATATATTAACAAAAAATTTTGCATTGCTACAAAAGTTTTCCAAAAGGACTATTATTGGCATTGCTTGAACTATTATTGGCATTGCCTGACCTTTGAACCATTATTGCTTTGACCTTTAGATCATTGTTTTAATTTTTGGATCACTGTTTTATGCATCATTTATTGGTACTGAAAGACATCTGGATGTTAAGCAATGTGCCATTTAAAATGTCGCCACAAACGTCTGGCGCATCAATTTATCGTAGTAAGAATAATTTCAGACTCTAAGAAATCTGATGAATGAAAATAATCTAGCAGATTAGAAATTGTTTAATTGTTTCTCGAGCCTATCATCTGGCATCATAATTGGTGTAAAGTTTGGTGGAGCTGTAAGACGATCATATCATAGATTCAATTTACAACTTTGTTATTGTCATTGATGTATTTCGGCTATTGCAATAATTACAACTTACAGTGCAATAATGGAAAATACAATTCATTCAAGGATTAAATATAGACAGAAATTTTAAAATACTTTTTTGGCAGGAAAATGTTTTGCAAAAAAGAAAAAGATAACGCGGATAGCTTTTTAGGCTTAATTACTATGCAAAAAATGATTTAAATCAGAAAAGATTAATTCATTAGTATTCTATTTGAATTATCCAAAAAATCAAATTGTGAAATTTCTGAAGAATTGCAGCCAAATGTATTGCACGCAATCTGCAATACCACAGCCAAATGCATGGCATATAATCTGCGCTACCTTGCTTCATGATTGGTATTATTGCTGAAATTGACAAAAATCTTGAATTCAAACTTGAAATTTGAAAATTTGAAGCTCCACCTTGAAGTCATGCATGAATTTTGTACTTTGCTCTTCACTTTACCTATGATCCTTCATAGTTCTTCCCAAAAAAAAAAGGGTAATTAAGCTAATTAGCAATTCTGCTGAGATTCAGTATTGAATTTTTCGCAAAAGAATGAATAGATGAAGTGGAATTTTCCCATTGCATGATATCTTTTTACATCATTTATTGGATTTCAATATTTCTTGCAAGTTAATCGAAATCATTAATCACAATTAGATTCTGTTGAAATGGTTTGAAACAATTTATTATTTAAAATGAATTATTTCACAGTGATTCCAAGTTAAAAACAAATCTGAAAATTAAGAAATCAGACAATGTTTAGGCGAAATTAATTGTTAGGCTCTAATTACATCTTCGGTAGCCTGAACTTCTTACTGCAAATTATGAAGTTGACAGAAATGACATATCAATGTTGTTTTTACATCTTCCAAGTAATAAATGAATCCCTCCATCTTTATTACCAATAATTTCCTGTTATGATCTATCGATAGTATGTTATAATTTTAAATAAATAAGACTTTTATATTTCTTTTTGTCAAGTATGCATTTATGTGAATAGGCTGTCCACTAAGATAGTAGGAAATACTGGCTGGAC